TACAAAACAAAGGTTGTTATATTAAAGCAAATTATTGGAATTACAATTGCGATTGCAATTGCTTATTTTCTTTTTATACAAAATGGTAAATCCTCCTCATTTTTCAAAACAATCGGAATATAGCTAATTCTTATCTTTTTTTTTTTTTTTTTTGGAAAGAACTCACTTCTTATATTATCTGATTTAAAACTTAAGTTTTATTTCTTGAATATTACAATGTTTGGTTAAAAGTTTGATATACAAGAATTCGGTGTTATGATACAGTAATAGGGTAGATATCAAAACGAATCATTTCATTGCTAGGGAGGTATAAATAATGGGTAATAGATATTGGATATGTTTGAAGATGCTTTTGAGAAATATATGGAAAGTATAAGGGTTATGGAATTTTGTATAGATTTTCGCATAGAGTTTTGCATAGGGAATTTCATTAGAGAATCTCATTCAGAAGGATCATTTGGGAATTTCAATAGAGAGGATATTTTACCAAACAATCTTCTCATCATCAATACTGTTGAAAGTCGTCAATACAGTAGTGAATCTGGCTGACTAAGTATAATTGCTTATTCCTAGAGCTAGCTCTCCTCTCTTCTTCAATCCTTCAATTCAATAACTCAATATCAAGAGATTAAAAGAGCTACAATAAACTATTCCCTAAGTGCATTATAACATTCAATAGATTATGAGCCTGGTTGCATATATCCGCTAGCCAGTCGGGATAATCAATACAATATCGATGTCACCGACTTTGATGATTTTGAGGGTATTCAGACTTTACCCTACTTCGGTCGCATAATAACGATAGCACGAAGACCATCAATACTATTGATTACAAGCCTGCAATTCATTCAAGCACCTAGAGTATCGACTCAACGGAACGATACGTATTCGGATCCAAGACGGATTTGTAACCCCTGCCTTGCCAGGCATTAAAATAGGCATTTGCAATCTACAACGATACATATTTCGGCGTCCAACGAACCTGAGGTTCAAAGCCTCAAATATGTGCAACAACAACCTCTGCCTTGCTAGGCATTAGAATAGGTATATGCGGTCCACGACGACATCGACACGCAACCTTTGCCTTGCCAGGCATTAGAATAGGCATTTGCGATCTACGACGATACGCATCTCCGCCCTGCCGGGCATTAGAATAGGCATTTTGGCATGCAACGAGCCTGAAGTTCAAGGCCTCAAACATGTGTATTTGCGATCTATAACGACACGCAATCCCTGCCTTGCCAAGGCATTAGAATATATGCATTCAACCCTATCGGCCGACTAATCAACTTTACAACCTACAACTTATTCAGAATGGACGGAGCAAAAGGTGCTGAGAGAAGGGTGACAGAACAAAGATAACAGAACAAAGGATACTAGTCCAGGAGGATTTACCTTTCATATAAATTAGTTTTCAGGATAAAAGAGAGAGGTATTGTATAAGGCTAGAAGGCTTCTTCACTGCTTTCCCAATGAAGGGGTGTATTGAAAGTCATCAGTACAACAGTGAATCTGGCTGACTAAGCATGGTTACTTATACCTAGAGCTCTCCTCTCCTCTTCAATCCTTCAACTCTACAACTCAATATCAAAAGATTAAAAGAGCTACAACGAACTGTTCCCTAGGTGCATTATAACTTTCAACAATCAATACAATACTTGATTCTTTCTTCTTATATTCGTTTCTTTGTAATCAAAAGGGTATAAACAGGATTCCGATTGTGTACTTAGAATCTACAAGTGAAGAACTATGTAGGGTGCTAAAAGGAGGACTTATATATACAGGTATTTGGGAGCCATAAGGGCTAGGCCCAGAAGAGTAAAAGAGTCCTAGAGATAAGCATCGTACGATGCCTAGGTCTAGAGCTATAGAGCTAGAGCTCTAAGCTGTGAAAGGAAGGTCCAAGAGAGCCGTCGTATCATGTTACGTATGTAGTATGAGCCAGTGGGCGGAAGAGAGCCGTCTGTTCCGTTATACATTTAAATTATTATATCAATATATTTCCTTGCTTTCTATTAAGGGAAAAAAACAAAATTATATACTTTTGCAATACAGCTGCAAAGTCTATATATATAACAGAAGACAAACAAAACAATAATAA